ACAGAGAGTTCCTTTAAGAGCATTAATGGTTAATGTTAAATTGACTGGTTTTTATATAAAGCTTTTCTACTCTACTTAAACACTGAAAGCGCTTTCCGCAAAATGTCTCATTCCCCCATTCACACCAAAGTGCTAGCATTTACGCACAGCAATCTAAGGACCACGGACAGCTCCTGGGACACAGCACTGAATGGCAACGAGTCTTCTAAGCTAGTCAGAAAAACACGTATCTAATCAGATCTGGGGGGAGAAGGCATCACTGAATAATGATGTGCAAATGAGTCCACACACACCCTGGAATCACAGTAAGAGGCTGTTCTTCTGTTCTTTTAGCTGTTGCTCACGACGCATGCAGGAAATTCACACACTAGAGCTGATAAGGGTGTATGTAGAGTAGAAATGCAGTGTAGGTGGGCTGTAGCGTAGTTAACTTAAAGAGTGATGTGAATATTGCACGTTTCCATCTGGTTTTGTATGGATAGACAACACTTTGAGTCACAAAAACAAAAACAACAACAACGGAAAATAAAGATTATTGAACCGATTTGAGCTTAAGGCCGAGGCACCCCACAGGAAGGATGTGGTGAATGTGTGGTCAGATATCAGAGTGTGTTCAGGTGGATCTGGATGTGGTGGTGGTGGTGGTCAGGGAGTGACTGATTGAGTCTGCTTCTGCTGACAGACTGATTACGCTCTGAAGTGAACAGGGAGGAGTAATGCACCAGAACACCACGGAAAGAGAGGGAGAGAGAGGAGAGGGAAGGGTGTGCCAGACCATCCTTCATCCACCGCCCCCACCTCTCTCCTGCATCACGGAGGAGGGCTATCCCAGCTTCCCCCATCCTCCCAGCATCGTGATCTCCCCTCTGCAGTATCTCCTTGTGCTTCTGTGGGCTTGGCCGTAACACACAACACTTATGCCCAAAGTCCACCCAGGCCAGACTGTTTCACTTTTAGCTACTCATATGACACTTATATGATGAGATAGATAAATGTTACATTATGTGGTTTTTAATTATTATAAGGTGTTAGTTAAACCCGACAAAAAGCTGACATTTTTGACCATTATCTTCTCTTTAATGAACAATAATGGCACATATGAAGTAGCGATTATTGGGTTTACACAGTTTACCTGGCATGAATCGGATTAAGGTTGAATGCCAGTAAAAACATGCTGAGAGTGTCCACTTTTAGACCCTGAAAGCTGGCAAGTGATCCAAACATAGACTATTAATGTGCATCCACTCCCCTCTGGGTTCTCTGCAGAACAATATAGTTGTGCAATTACTAATTTATTACTCCGAGTGGAGTGGGGGAGAAAAACAGGCAGCACAGAGTCACGCAGAAAGTCCCTGTTTGAGAGGAAAACTTACTGAGAAAGGCTTTAATTTTCCAGCAGGAGCCATTACTACTGATGTGAGTGATATTTGGTGAGGGTAACAGCAGCTCGCTCAGATATGGCTCCCACACAGATTTACTGCAACTGTGGCTGTGCATTGTAAATATGAAACGAGAAGGTAAAAGACTAAGCACCTTTGAAACAATGGATATGCTGCAAGCCCTGAAATGCACAGGCAAGACCAGTAAAGCCTGGAAGAGCGGCTCTCCCGTCCAAGATGCACAGTATATAGCGCTCTTTTTGCGCAAAGTAAAAGCTGCTTTCACACCGGTGCAATACGAGTTCACTCCCACCCCCCATCCTCACCTCTTGTTATCGGCTCGGCAGCCCTGGACACAGAGGCCGTGTAAATCATACGACAAGTAAGTAACAGGATATCGAATCTACCGAGATTTAACTCGCTGATCGCCGACTCTCCATCTCCGGCAGCCCTTCACACAGCACCTGCCTGCCAAGGGGGAGAGCAGCCTGAAGCGGCTTAAAACAGCACCCTCACCTGAACCGAGGCCTCTCCCGTGGCAACGTGGGTCTCTCTCGGGTCCTCCTCCGCAGGGGGGGAGCGGGCGAGGGAGGAGGGGGATCCAGCCGGTCCGGCTCTCGCTCTCCGGGGCTAGGGGGGGTGGGGGCTGCTGGGATTCCTCTCCACGCGCTCCCTGGTCCGCCGACGGAGCTCCTCTCTCCTCCTCTCCTCTCCTTACCCAAGCAGCGTCAAGCTGCGGATGGAAAACGAGATGTTCCGCTCTCTTGATTTCAAAATAAAAATTTTTTTAAAAAAAATGTACACACATGACCTGTAATATAGCCAGCGAAACAGCAGGGGGCGCCATAAAACAACCCCCAGCCCCTAATTAAGATGACCAGGAGCTTAACGTTTACTTCTAAAAAATGAATTAATTACAAAATAAAAATATGTAATTTTTCGCACATTATATTGTGTATTATATTGTGTTTGATTTAAATAAAAGGACACTTAGTCTTTAGTTCCTTGTCCTTTAGTCTTTCTTTCACCAAAGCAAATTTTGCCCATAAGTCGCTAGCAAGTGCATGCTAATTGGTACATTGTGCCATTTCCAAGCCATAACTCGACTCAAAGAGCAGTTAAACCATAACATTAACTACTAACTGAGTAGAAGCTGATTACCGTGGTCGAAGGCGACTGTTATCAAGATGGTAAAAATATCCTGGACAGGTGCCAGCTTCATGCCTGAAATCAAAATGGCAGATACTGTGACGTCCATAGAGACAGGTATTTTTACTTCCCTATTAGTCGGCTTAGTTGTTGATATTTTAACTTTGAATTATTGTCTGTATATATTGCGCTTTTGGGATCTTTTAAAGTGTTTATCTTGAACTGACAACTTTGGTTACACTCCGTACTCACTTCTGTAAAACACCAAATTTTAAGCTGAATTTCCTTTTCTACCTCATTTTCCACATTTAGCCGACTTTTTCTCGGGAAGAAATAGCACCTGATTTGTTAGTTCTACCAGAGGGTTTGTTAACACCGCGCTTCAGTGCGTTTTATTTTGAAGGTACAAATGGGAAATTGTGTATCTCCTTTGCTTCCTCGTAACGGGAATCCTCAATATTGGGCTGTACACAGTGCGCATGCGCTCAGTTAACGGGCCTGCTGTAATCCCCTTTGTCACAAATAACAAGAGGACGCAATCTGCTGTAATTAAGGAAACCTATCCACCCAATTACAGGTTTCCACTTATGTAACAGTTAAGGTCATTAAAACAAAAATAAACACAGCTAGGTTTATTTGATATCTCTCTTTACAAATTAAAACACAAGATCTGTGCTTTGCAAAGTGAAATCGTGCAGTCGTTTCATCAAAAAAGCAACAAATTCACGCAGTAAGCCCTCAATTTCAAATGTAAAGCAAAAGTATTGGCGAGGAAACTTAATATAACAATTACCAAGTATTAAAAAGAAGATAATGATGAGATATTAATAGTCTTCACGAACTCTGCCATTGCTCATTTAATTTCCTAATTAACTGACTGATTTTTGAAAAACAGAAAAATAGTGATACGTGACCCAGAGTCAAAAGTGACATCATTGTGCATCATTTGTGTTTTAAAACCAAATCTTAAAAATTATAAGTAATAACTATTTAAAAATAAAACGGAACCGCCTCACGTTTCAGGGGTTTTGGAGCTTTTTGCGTGACAAAAGCATCACTGGATTTCAAAAAACAAACAAACAAACAAACAAAAAAAACTTAAAATATTTCGCTCTTGATGAATTAACATATGAGCAAAAACGTTGGAGCTTAATAGTTGTTTTATTTTTCCTTAAGTTTTCCTGAGAGTACAGTACTTAGTTACATCAAGCCCGTGCAAGCTTACCTTACCAGTGAGAAACTGAGGTGAATTATACCTCCACAAGTGCGTGTAAAGGAGGTTTTTTTTTAAGGTGATGGATTTTCATATGCACACTCACTGCTGTGTAGATTCCAGATTTTTTTGCTGAGGCTCTGGCACCATCTGCTGTTCAGTGACCACCTTTATAATGCTGCTGGGAATATCATTTATCTACAGGTGAACAAGCTGCCTTTAACGTGAGCCTCAGATTTAATGATGGGAAGAAAAAAAACAACACAATTTTGTTAAACAAAATCTAATTCTAAGTGCTCAAAATATCTCCATGTTTAATGAAAAGAAAATGTCATGGTCCCCAGAGGATGAGTGCCACTTATTTTAAGAGAACCAAGTGGCCTTTCCTCCAGCATCACTAGTTGGTCAAAGTTTTCACTGATCCAGTGAAGTACACTATATGGACAAAAGCACCGGGCCACCCACATAGGAGCTTCTTGGCCATAGAAACACATACCATGAAGCTCCCATTGCACCGTTTTTCTGCCGATGTTAATGATAGGAGGGAGTCTGGAGCTCTGCAGACACATTGGCGACTGTTAGGCACTATGCACCTTAGCACTGGTGACTCTGCTCTCCAACTACGTGGCTGGAGACTAGTTGCTGTTGCTTCCACTTTGCAATAAGGCTACTTAAATACTGTAATATCTCAGAGGGAGGACTTGTTGCAATGATTGCATCCTATTACAGCACCACACCACAACAACCTGTTCATTCACAAATGTTTGTAAAGGGAGACTGCATGGAAAGGTGCACCTGCAGCAATTCAAAGAGATAAATACTTTTGTCTAAATAGTGTATGTTAAAATCAGCATGACGTATAGGCACAAAAACCTCTGATTGGCCCTGGACTACAAGAGGGTACTTTTACAACACAACTGATATAATTATTACTAAAGTTCATAAAGATGATGTATTTTGGTCGCTTAATAACTTTTCACCTTGCATCAGTATTTATTGTTGGTTTTGGACCACGGTCCTGCAAATTAATAATAATAATAATAATAAAAAAAAGAACATTTTAGATGAGCTCAAAGTTGTACTCATTATAGCAGCACTTAGCTGTAACATGTTAGATTTACTCACTATTAAATTAACTACCATACCAGAGTGTTATCCGATAGGCGAACCTTGCGTGTTTATTAACACAAGAAACTGCAACAGCCCTCCTGGCCTATAAATGGAGGCTGAAGGAAGCCTTTCATGATTAATGGTTCAAAATAAGTTTTACTTGGTTCATGCTTGATCCATCCATCAGTTCCACTCTGTCTGACACAGGGGGTAGGTGGGGTTTTTGTGCTCACATCCAGAGCCGTATACCTGAGATGATCATACCATGGGTGTTTCAAGGAGTCTGAATCTTGAGCTTTCAGCTCACAGGGATTACTTGTACATGGCTAAAATTCGAAAAGGAGTACATGTATGACTGAAAACCAGTGGTGACAACTGAGGAGAGAATCTGACGGAGAAACCGAGGAGCACGGCACCGCGACTGGCTCATCGTCCTTCTTTGTGATGCTTCCAATGAGCACATTTTTAAACAGTGGGCTTCTTGTTTTATTCCAAACTAGCAACTGATCCCAGGAAAGTCTGGGTACCTCTGGGCTAAAGTAAACTTGCTGTAGTGCCAAATTATAAGAGACACTTTGTGTGAAAACAAAACAACTGGCAGTCTATTATAAACCTACACTGCATTCTCCACAGTCTCTTCCTGCTTGGTTACAAGGTGTAGCTTTGGGAAAAATGATTCATTGATAGCCTCTTGACACAGAATGGAGGTTTCTAGCATAACTTCACCTACTTCCTAGGTTCGTTTAGAAGAACCAAGGGTCTGAAGAGGTCGAGGCTCTAGCAACACTTGCAGTATAAACAGCAGCTTTATTACTTGACTAACGCGTTTTGGCTTGTGGTGCTGATCAACTAATAAAGCTGTTTTTTTATCCTAGTTTAGAGTTGCTGGAGCTTCAACCTCTTTAAAGCTTCTATGAACAAAATATTTGAGTGAAGGAAGCGTACACCGCTCTTAGCTCTGCCTGGAAACAGGCTTGTAAATGACTCCAAATATACCTCAATTGAGGGCAATTAAGAGGATTGTTAGGGCTTCCTTTTAAAAAAAAAGAAATCACCTAAACTGTTCATGTGATGAAAGACAAGCCTACATGTTGTTTTATAATAAGGTGCTCTTTATTTCATCATTTCATTATTCACATCTCACAGTACACTTTCTTATAGCTTTGAATTGTAGTTTTTAACCATGTGTAATACTGACCTCAGCCTCCTCTCCCAGGCTTCCTGGCGTCACTGCAGCACCCCCACCTCTGTTCCTGGGTACATTTGGTCGCAGGGACTCGGATTCTAACTTTTTACCCAGGGCCAGAGGCTTGAGGGAGTCTGGAGCTGGCTTTAGATTGTTGTCTGGTTCAGTCCTGCAAACTGTGAAGTGCTTATCTTGTTTTGTTTATTTATTCACACAAAGTCCAGATTAAGTGTTTGATCACTTTAACTGCAGAGAGCCGCCACCATAAACAGGTTATAGCAGCCTTCGAGGGACGCGGGCGGCACTTTATTCAACGTTCAGATGATGTGGATTTGGCATGGATTAAAAGTGGACTGCAGGTATTTTGAGTTCCTCAGCCGTTTCCTGTCAGCATGCCTTCAGAAGTGTGCAAGCACTGAGCAGGAGTGTTATAGTGGCTGCCCCGATGATGCACCACTGCATCACAAGCAGACCATTAAAGATTAACAGCCTCATCTGGACGGCAGAGGAACCCTGCCGTAACTAAAAATACTTATGATCACTTGGTGCAGACTCCCACTGCAACTGGTCTTTGTTTTTTTTATGTCTGTACAACTTTAAGGCAGGAAGTTGAATTTTTTTTTTAAATAGGACTCAGTCTTAAAATTCATGCCTCCCTGCACAGGATTTTTTGTTTTTTTAAATAAAGGACGGGGAGCCTGGAAGTATTCTAGTGTCCATCAGGCCTGATCCACTGAAACCAAAGTCAGAACAAGTCGTCCTAATGTGCTCTGCTATGCCATGTAGATGAAGGTGTTTATATCCGTCTCATCCCGCTTTATGTACTTATGGTCTATCAGCCACTCAATCTGCTCCTTGATCATCTTCTTCTGTGGTAAAAACATGTTCTTTAGGATTTCCACCAGCTCCGTCTGCAGCTGAGCGTTGTTGATGCGCTTCCTCATCTTCATTATTTGGATGATGGCCTCCTGGACGTGAGAAAAGGAAAAGAAGAGGGTGGAAAAATAACAAAGCAGGTCAAGAAACTGCACTGTGAGGCTCTTTATTCACAGTAGGTGAAGTTCAAAACAATTGAAGATGCACCAGCCTCTCCACCTGCATGCTGCGAGCTCATCTCTGTACCTGTGTTCTTAGTATCCTGAGCTGGACGATGCCCTCGTTCTCCTCCTCTCTCATTCGCTCCGTGGTGAGCTGCAGCCGACCGATCAGGTTGATCTTCCCCCTTTTCTGAACCTTGGAATTTTTTCTGTAAAGTTGAATTTGAAAAAGAAATGCCCTGGGTCAGCATATGGACCTGTGGTCTCAACTAAGATATCTGGTCTGCAGTGTGACCATTTAATCACCAACTATTAACACCATCATCACTGGTCTGTTTGCACTAACAGCAGTGACGCAGAGAGGCCTGGAAGAAGCTGCTAGTTGTCTAACCCTGCTTACCTAAGCTATTATTTATTTAATAGGTTTTTATTTATAATAATATTATTTGTATTACATTTGGATATATTTTTATATTACTTATTATTACTAGTTTCAAATCATAAAAATGTTATTAGACAAAAACTCTTTTTCTCGTTTATATAATGCATTCTCATTTATCACTGCAACAATTTCTTGCGTTCGTAGAAAAACTTCATAAAAAATTAAGGGAGCCTCAAGATTTTTGCATAGGGCTCCACATTTAAAGCACATCTAAGATCCTGTTCTTAAAAACAAAAGTGTTTTCAAATTAAAAAGAGAATGAAGTGATTTTGAATCTGAAATGTTCTTATTTTTGGAATATGATAATTTCATTCAATAACCTCTCAGCATCTCTAGTGTCCCTCAAGTACATCTGATGCTATAAATGTGGTAAAAGCGGAAACACATGCACAGAGCTAAACTTCCAAACACTCAAAAGTTATGTAATGGATTTTATGAGTCATTTGGAAACAACAGAGTGTGCAAAATTATATTTCTTCCTCACTAAGACCAGACTGTGTATTAAAACGTCACAGAAAGAACTAAAGAGGCAAAGTTGTGAAGAAGAAGAAGAAGAAGAAGAAGAAGGAGAAGAAGGAGAAGAAGGAGAAGAAGGAGAAGAAGAAGGAGAAGGAGGAGGAGGAGGGAACAGGGTGAACGTGATCACTTACATGAGAGAAAATTCCTGGTTGACATAGAATAACGTTCCTTCTGCAAAGTCTTTTGGCGAAGACACTGCCGGGTCATAGAGCAACACCTGCCTCTTGAGTTTGGGAAACGCTACCAGAGACTGGGCGAACAGAGAGGTTTAAGGAGGGAAACAGAAAATCTTGTATTAATCAAACAAAAGAACAAACTTGTTTGTCTAAGACGTGATAGAGACAGTCATCTACAGTTCACAGGCACTTTTGTCCTCGTTGTTTACCCAGAGAGTGCGCCGCAGCTCTGCATCGGGCAGCTCAGTGGCTAATTTGAGGTTTTCAAAGCTGATCCGCTCCCTCGGTCGCTGGTTCCAGGCAAACAGCACCGCCAGCTGGAATGTGGTCACCTCCAGGTCATACTGGCCCACCTCGTTCTTAAACGTTATCTGGAGAAGTGAAGTACATTTTATTTAGTTTGATTACTAAGTTCAAACAATAAAGAAATAATAGATCACGGGAGGAGTACATGTGCACGGTCGAAACTCTCCTTTGTAAAAAGTTTGAAGGAACTGCCTGGAAAATGTTCAATACAGAATTAATATGCTAATGTGGTCACCTCAGACACACACATGCTTTTCTAACCTTGGGCAAATAATCAGAAGGATGCTGGTTTGAAGGGACAGGAGCTGATTAGCTTATTTCAGACAGTGGAGAAGTGGAGAAGCTGCTGAGCTCAGTATTAGATAAAAAAGGATTATTCTAATCTGTGAAATATGCAAAGCTGCACCAGTGAAAGTTTTCCAGTAAACTGCTTTGGCCATTACAGTAACTGGAATGGTGCAATTTCACAGTTAAGTTGCTTTTGTGAGTTCCTGTGCAGACACGTTAGACTCACGATGCCGTTGGACATGAGGTGATGCCAGTGAAGCTTCCTGCCACTGTGGTTCTTCTTATAGAAGTCTTCTACCTCAGGTATCAAATCCTCCAGCTCCGTAGGGAGAGACACAAAAACCTTCTCGCTGCTCCTCGACCACGCTCCAGCATTCAGGATCTTTATGTTGACCGAGTCAGCTGCAAGGGAGCGCACCAACATGTAAACCAACAGTTTAAAGTAATAGCACATCCCAGTCAAAAGTACACATTACTGCACCTTGCTGGCTGAAACCAGCTACTAGTTAGCTTAGCATAAAGAAAGTCTTTAGGCTTTTGTGTTATCTAATGTTAAAACAGTATTTGATGTCTGTCTATTTTGAACACTGTGCTCACTGTTCTCGTGGAGGATGTAGATTGCAGTGTATTGAACTGTAAGGGAAATCCCCTTTGGGGTTGTGTCTCCTCCCAGTAATTTACATGTTATGTTACTTTTTTATTCTACCCAGAAGACAAAGTCGTAGGGGTTAGCCGTTTCCCCCATTTCCAGCCTCTATGCTAAGCTAATCTACTGCTCATTAGTCTTTGTGTTTAGATTATACATGAGTGACATCAATCTGCTCATCTCAGTGGAGAAAAGCAAGAAAGTAAAATGTACTTGCTTCCCCAAACTATCAAACTCTGTCATCATTTTATTAAACAAAACATTTTCTGACTTTACCTGGTAAAGCAAGCTTGTTATGTTTATGCATTTCTTTGAAGGACTGGTTGAGGTCCTCCGACACCTTGATGTCTTGGAACATCCTCGCTAGCTTGTTGACATAGTCAGCTGGCATTCCTACTTCCTGTTTGGACAAATGACATCACAGTAAAGATGAATCAATTAATCGTGTTGCTAATCGTGTCTGTGTTAATTTGCGAGCAGTTTCTCATTATGATGTTCTGTCGGTGATACTTGTGATGATAAATGAAAAGGAGACAGCCCCAGATGTCTCACTGATGAAAACATTTAGTAAACAGAGTAAGGTGAGCTTCATAGAAGGAAAAATAGAAAGTAAATGTTCCCCGTTAGCTCCTACCCTGAGCCACTCCACCATGTTCTCCTCTATCTCGCTGTCGGCTGAGATGTCCAGGATGAGCCGACGGGTCAGGTGGGCTTTGTGGTAGCGCATGAAAACATCTTTGTTCTGGACATACTTCAGGACTAAAAGCTGCAGGAAAACCGATAAATAAATTTAAATAAACACCGGTTGGAAAGGACTCAGCAGCGACTTTTGGTGTTTGTTGCAGTTTCTTGAGAATTCAAACACTTATGAATATTTTTCTGAGTTGGCACAAATTTGTTGAGGTTATTGCTCTTTACTTCTTAACGTTCCAATAAAGTCAGAGCTTGCCTGTTTCATGTTCTTCCTGCATGTTCTCTCAAGACTTCCAGAGCAATAACTAACAGTAGATCAATGTCAGATGCAGGAACGCCATTTTAAAAACTTACAAGAACACTAAACTTACCACTTCCTTGAGCTTGGCCTCGATCTCTTCAGAGGTGAGCTTCTTGCTGAGTGGAGTCTTCCTCAGGAGCATGTCACAGTAGTTGGCTAGCAGCTCTGGACACTTGGACTCAGGCTGAGTTTTCAACCCTACCCTGTAAACGCAGGTGAGGAGAGACGAGTGCAATCAAGCTGTCAGGCTGCTTTTATCATTCGGAGCTGAAGTTCATGCAGGCAGCTCTCTTACCCTTTCTGTTTCATGGGAAGCTCTAATTTAAATATCGTGGCATCATTCACAACCGCTTTATAGGCCTGCAAAGAGGATTGAAAAAAAGTTCTGAGGATATTCTAAGACAGGCATCCTACAGTTACAATGGAACTTAGAAGTGTGACTCACTTTGTCTCTAGCAGTCAGGAAGCGTGGATCATCCTGAAAGGCCTCTTTCACCAGTCGACTGAAGCGGTTAAACAGGGTGAGCAGCTGCTCCACGTATTTCTCCGAGTCCTGCAACAAAGACCCGATGGTGCAACCACTCACTGAGATCAGGATAAAAGTTCAGATTTACATTAACTAAGCTCAAGGTCCACAAACTTACAGTACGTTGAAATTTTATCTACAGGCCTTAAATTTTACAATTTAAGCATTAAAAATCTAAACCGTTAAAAAAGGGACCATAAGGACCACAAGGACAACCTGTAATACCAGTTACAAACAGGTACAAATGCACTATTCTTAAAATTAAAAACATTTATAAAAGCCCCCCCATCTGGTTCATTTTCACACTGCACAAATTATGTAGAAAGCAATAAACTTACTCCCTGACAACACCCTTATAGTGTTTCTTAAAAGAGAAGGGACATACACTTTGAGGCCAGTGGTACCCCTCAGCCTTCGAGATTTTTTTCTTTCAAAATTCCAGGTGAATATTGCATCCACAAGATTTTTAGAAACTTTACCTCTGGACTTGAGGTCAAGTTCAAACTCGTCTGAAGTTTTTAGTAGATACACCTATGGTATCAGTTTTAAATTCCTACATCGCTTCAGTCTCGAGTTATCGCATTCACAAACTTCGATGTCCATGGTGCCCACTTGGCCTCCTGGCAGGGTGACAACAATACCCTCCAATGGGGTATCTAAGGAGTCCAAGGATTTGTGTAGATTTGGTGTACCACATCTAAATTTCTAAATTAATTTATTAGCATAAAAAGGACTGAGTGTGAGATGAGAATTTTTCAGCTTAAACAGAAGTGTGGAGGTGTAAAGTGAGGAAAATGTTTTGCAATATTAAAAAAAACAAAAAATAAAAATCTAACATGTTCTGTGTTAGCCCTGCGACAGACTGGCAACCTGTCCAGGGTGTACCCTGCCTCTCGACCTATGGTAGCTGGGATAGGCTGCCCCCCCAGCAACCCTGACAAGGATAAGCGGAAGAAAATTGATGGATGGACGTTTAGTCTTCATGCATAAGATTAACTCATCTGCTGCACACCCATTTCCTTTCCCAACCCCAACGATCTCTCTCTGGATCATTATCAAGCTGGCGTTTTGATTAATAAGAATGACGGCATCTCAGCATTTACTGCTGTCATTGAAACGCATCTCGATGTTAATACAAACTGTAATAACCTGCAGTCTATTCTGGCTAACCTCCCACCATCACCAGTTTGGCATGTTTGTCTGTGCGACACTCACAGAGGTGATCGTCTCCGCCGACGCTACCATATCGGCCAGCCCAGCACTCATGATGTGCTCCTCCAGGTCCTTCAGCATGGGCTCGATGCCGTTGGGCACTTTGTCCATGAGAGAAAACATCAGGTGCAACTCTGTGGTGAAAGCAAAGGCATCATCCTTGCTTTTTAGAAAGACTATGACTCAGAGTTATGGAGCAGTCAACAGAAAGGAGGTGGGCAGTGTTATTGCTGCAGAGAGACCCTAAAACAGATGATATACTGCAAGAAATAACTCTGTGATGCCCCAGTCTTTACCAGAATCAATACAACTTAAAAAATTAAGACTGAACTAAATCCCTAAATGTGCATTTCTGTACTAGTGACATGTCTCTAATGTTCATTTTGTAGCTACATTATAACACGAGCAGAAGATGAGCTACTTTAAAATCCATTATTGTGGAAGGCCTTTGTCAATTTCATGAATTAAACCACACACACACAGATGCATTAATAATACGGATGGGTGGTTAATGCAGCCCAGAAACTTGACAGAGGTCTTAATCACGAAACAATTCTCCAATACAAACTTTTATGTGTTCTTAAGATTTTCCATATTGGTCATTTACATTGAAATCGTGCAAAATGTCTGGAAGAAAAATGCTACATAATCTCTGGGTAGGTTTAATGCACCAGGATGTGTTCATCTACAGTGAACAGCAATGTGAGCAAAAGAAAAGAACAAGATGTGATACCAGCAGCTAAAACATCAAATTCAAAACTAAATGCATCTGTGGCAACGAGCACAGACTACCTTTAATGTATAAAATTATTATTGTGATATAAAACCTCATGAATAAGTCTCAAAGCTTGGGCACAGATACAAGACTTGAAAGCCTCTTATTATTAAAAAACAAACAAACAACAAATTCATGTCTGAGTAACGAGTTTCAAATCCTTATTTTTGTTTTACTTTAACCTGAACAACTTCTGCACTTCCTGCACTCAGTCTGTGTGTTTTCAAACCAGCGCGAGAATCAGTTATGCTCCACTGAATACCTGTTGTTATTAACGTTATGAAATTTAGTGTATACTATTTAACCAGTCCCCCCCCTCCCCCAAGTAAAAGCTTTGGATCCCACAGGACACTCAGTTAGAACATGGAGTGCTGTGACAGACGGATCTATCGTGACGACCTTCCACCTCACACGTCGCCTTCTGTGTAAACCTCCGACTTGGTTTTAGATTAACGAGGCTGGTCATACTACCACACAGGGATGTTGTACAGATGCAGAGAGATTTGTTCAGGCTATTTTCTAGTGCAAACCTGAGCTGGCTGAGCCTTTGGTGGGAACAGTCCTGCCGTACTCACTCTCTGTCTCATTTCGTTTGATCATGCCCGGACATTCGGCTAAGATGGTCTCCTTGAACGATGTTACTAGCGCATTGACGCAACACTCCATTAACTGCAAAGATAAGCAGAGGCAAAAACACTCAGAAACAACACACGTGCAGATATCAGAAATCAGCATTTTTGGGACAATCCTTCAGCACTGTCTTTCCAAGAGTAAGAGGAGAAGACCAAACTTGGAATAAGCCCATCAAGGAATAATAATAAGAGGAAACGTGAAATAGGCTTTGCGTGAAATAACCCAAAGATTAAAGTAAAAGGAAATATGTGAAAGGAACGCCTGGCCACATCTGTATTATTCACTATACTACAAACAGCAGTTTGTAAAAACAGTAAAAACTGCAGTTCAAGGGAACTTGAACTGCTACATACGCTAAATATTTATTTGCAATCTTTTAATCACACAAAGTAAACAAGGATATTTTAAAAAGATGCTTTTTGTCTTTGATTTCTGGGTGAAAATCGTGAAATATGGCAGAAACTGGCACAATATTTTTTACTGTAACTTGAAAAAGAAGAAAAAGCTTAAAAATTAAATAGAATATAAACATTTAGAGACCACAGAAATTGATGTTCATGTTTACAAAATTTCAAACTAAAACAATGGAGCTTATACTAACTGCTTGTACAGAGTTGCAGTCACGTCTCGTCTCTAGGTAACGCAGGGCACGTTTCTCCTCTTCCCTCAGCTTCGAATCAGCCTGATGAAAATAAAACATATATATGCAATTTTTATGCATGTTAGAAAAAGCTAAAAGCAAACATATAAAGACGAAAAGCCTGTAAGTTTTAAATGTTTATAGTTGGTATTTCACAAATATGGGATAAATAAAGGTAGTTATACCAGCAAGTAAACAGTGAGCAGCAGTTCCATTAAAATAAACAGAGAAACTGGGAAATCTGTTTTCTGGCCCAGGAGTGTTACTCACATATTTCATGTAGTTTTGGACGCCGTTCTGCTGGAGGTAGGCCGGTGCTTGTGTTCTGTAAAACCTCTCAGTAGAATCCATATACGCTTTTTCAAAGTTATCCCTGTAGATCTGCAGCTTGTCGTCGGGGTTGGAGCACAGGTTTACTGCTCAGGACAATAAAAATCATCACACAGTGAGATACAATACAATTTTTTGAGCTTGAGTGACTCAAATGTTAGTGTTAAGTGGTTAAAAAAAAAAAGTAGTACAAAGGCTAGACATAACAAGACTGTTGATTTGCATATCTGTGGTTTTTCATATTTTTCTCTTCCTGGTCCTGTGTTTTTTTTAACAGATGGTGATGAATTACATTTTCTACTGCGCTCCATTTTCAGGGCTCGCAAAATTGCTAGCCCGATGGGCGGGGCTGAGATAGATTTTGGTCGCCCGACCGGAGATATCGCTAGCCCCGGGACGTAGGGCTAGTACTCAGAAATCCTTAAGTACTTCTGAAAAGTTTTTGTGTTTTTCTGGAAAGGCAGCTAATTTTGTGTTACTTTTCAAGTGTTTTCATCATTTCAAATGTTAATAACTAAAGACAGTATTTTGGATTTTGTCTCACTTGGCCTCTTGGCCGGAGTTTATTCAATAAAGAAAGAAAGAAAGAAAGAAACTGAAAACTGAGTTTTCGAAAATCTCCACCCCGGCAGGAGTTTTTAAAAATCTGTTTTCAGTGAGCAAAAACATTGTTTACATCTGGACGAAAGGCCCAAAGGCCCAAACGCATAGAAAAAGCTGCGTTTTCAAAAATACCCGAGTAGGTGTGGACATCGCCTTAAAGAGTTAGTATGTTTGGTGCATTCAGATCATTGTTCTGAGCGAAGAAAGCGAAGAAAGCGAAGAAATACGAAGAAATGAGGGGTGGCTCAAGACTTTAGTATGTATAACACAAAGAGTATTTCCAGTAGTCCAAAAGGTGTGAAGCAGACCATCTCCAGTTGTTGTGCATTCATAAACAATGTCTGTCATGTAGAACAGGAGGCCTCAGCCTCAATACCAAGCTGCTGAAACCAAAAGCTACTACGCTGTCATTCACGAGCAGTCATATTTTCTACCCTTTCTGATCTATGACTGGACAAACAGAACCTTCAGACGTCGCCTGCAGGATCCAAACAAAGGCTTGAAACAGGTGTGTCTCAGTTTTTCTCACCGTATGACTCCCGCACTCCGATGACCAGCTGTGAGTCAAAGGCCTCCCCCAGCCTCTCGGCGTGGACGAGCTTCATGGCACTGTCTTGTAGCCTGTTTTTAATGTTGGAGAAAATGGACTCGTTCCATGTGTCAAGCATGAGCTGCAGTGAGCATAGAGAAAAAGTGTTAAACACAAACATGCACACTGACGAATGTTTCTTTGGATCACAGTAAAAAGACAGAAACAAACAAACCCACTCACCTTGCGGACGATGCTGTCCTCCATGTTGGACTTCTTGTTGCTTCCTTGCTTACCCATCAAAGTGATCTCCAGCTGGCAGAAAGGTTTGGGCAGAATGTCACACTGTGTGAAGAACTTCCTCCACTCCACAATGTACGCCTTCAGCAACGCCGTGTCATCTTGGTGACTAAGCACCCGCTAAGAAAAGGAGAGAGACACAAGTTAGGGTCAGTTTGCACCTTCAGAAATAAATTGGTAGCCGATATTTAAAATTAAGATACACCTTAAAGAATCAGCACGAACACTGATGAGAAATTTAAACTGATGTCAGAACAGAAAGTATTTTTTAAATGTCTGGAGAAAAAAAACATAGCCTGTATCTATCATTCAAACAGACACAGATAATTTTAAATCTCTGTCATAACATTCATCCAACAATTAATGGAGCAGTTCCCAAAACGGTCAGCTAACAGGTAAAAAAAGGAGAACTTACACAAAACTTTGGGGAACAAGTTGATAAATCTCAGTTTGAAATTGAGACTAGGCTAGATTTTACTAAAGTTCTGTAATACTTATATCTTTTAAGTATTTTTATTACAAATGCCACTCCATATTAGAGAAAAAAAATCTGTTAAAGGGAAACCTACTCTTTAAACGCTGGATGGAGGAACTCATTTCAGCGTGACTTTAAAGCTCTGAGTACTAGAGAGCAGAATGCCGTCCGGCCTGACCGGGTCATCTGTCAGGGGAAGTTGGCTAATGTTGGACGATGATGCTGCCAATTAAGCATAAAGGGGACTCTCAAAACCCAAATGTCCCTTCTGAGAGAAGAAAGGAGCAGTTGATCTTCAGAGGACTGTGTGAAAGTGTCAGCTAAGGCAGTGGAACCAGGTTTTTCTGCTACTGTAAAGTAGAAGCAACCTCACAAATAACTGAAAGTCTATGTGTGCTGCAAAAATGATCAAAAGAGGAACTCATGACATGAATCTATTTTGTTCATTGAAACAGGGGCTGTACAACAAAGAAAGCTTAAATTATAAAATATATTTTTTTCCATATCTAGCTTCATTTATTCCAACAACAGCAATCAGACTAGCTACAAGCAGACGGACGTGAAAGATGCAACAGTGGCAGCATGTCAACAATCACAACCATGGACAGGTGTACTGGCCACAGAGTCACAGTCACACAAAACAGTGGTCTGAGATGAGAGGTTTGCAATGGTTGCTTTGAAGAAAGGATCATTTGCTGTCAGTTGTCTTCTTCAAAGCATCTTAGGTGTGTCACAACGGAGTTAAAACACCAATAAGATGCAGTCGGTCTGCTACTCATCTGTGACTGAATGAGGTTACGTTTGCAATTATATGCAATCTGTCTACGAAGATAAAGTGATTAACTGTAACAAATTGACAAAAAGTGCAAATTTGTTGCTGTCTGCATCCACAGAAACCTTTCCCAATCTGTGTGAGAGTGACTGCAGTCAATATAAGTCAAACTGTGACTGTTTAAAGACATGTTGCCTCCCTTAGGCAACCTGTGCAATCACCTTGCGATCAAAAGTGATTGTCTGGGATCGAGGATATTTGCTCGTTCAACCTCTGTCTAGAAAAGTTCAGTGTAATCACTAGGAAACTGCCCATTCTTCCTAGTCGCATAGCCACAGTAAAGGAAGATAAAACTACAATATTAGAAAAATGCAAAGATGTTAAACAGGAAGGCTTTCTCATCTACTCAGATAGATACAAAAACATTTACAAAACGCTAAAATAAGTCCCAAAATATACTTGAGTGTTGGGTAAGATGCTTGTATATGCTGTCCAAGCAACATGTATGTGTAGGAAACACTGAACTTAAATGAACTGGAAGAGAAAAAGCTTACTGCTTGTGCTTGTTTGATGAAATCTAATATGTCCTCTTTGAGGGCCTGGTGGATCTTAGCTGGACCTTTGTCGTCCCACAGGCACACAGCATGGACATCTCTGTAGAAGCAAAAAAAGGAGTCACATCATCACATCTAAAAACCAAAGCCTAAGGTGAAAGCGCAGAGGTAGAGTCACCGAAAACTTACGAGAACAGGTCAAACCACTGTTGTTTGGTGACGGACTCTTGCCGCAGGAGCTTCAGTACTATGGGCCGCATCAGGTCCCATTTATCTTCAAACTGAAGGGAGCCTTTGTTCTGGAAACAAGCAGGAGAGGAGAAGAGTCAAATTATATGACTCACTAAAACAAAACCTTAGGGTGAGCTACAACTCAACATTAATCTGCTTTCAAACACCTGGCAATTTAAGATTATTTATATGTATAAGTTTCACTTTCTCAGCTTTCTGTTTTTCTCTGTACAATGACAAAATTTTGAGATGGGGGTTTCTTTTTGACAATACAGATGAAAGGGAATGGGAGGCAGTGAGAGGAGAAGCAGAAATGCAGAATCTTCCCCACAGAGAACAATCACTTGTGATGACTTATCAAAATGGACAAAGCTGCCCCTCCTCAGCCACAGAATAAAACATGACTTCACGGGCCGACCATAAAGCCTGATTTAGGAATTGCAAAACACTATCACCATTCCTGGAAAACTGCTCTGACCTCAGTGTCCTGACAATAAGTTTTCAGTTACAGAGTCTTTGTCTTTCCCTGGTAAGCAGAAAAAGCCTTAATATAGATGATCCAAAAACAGGAAGTCTGAACCTTGTACTTCTGTACCACATATAAAATCTGCAAGTAGGCTAAATCTGCATATCAGATCCTCCCTGTTTCTTAACAACAAAACTGTGAAGTCTGTTAACTTACACACTCTGACTTAAATCGGCTTTATTCTTATATTGCTTTTCAGTTTTACTGACTTTCATGCAGTGCTCTTCCCCTCTCTTCTGATTGGTCAGATGCTGCCAACTTCACCTCATAACTAGAGTGATAAACTCTGTACTTATCGAGTTGTGAAGCAGATTTGTGTGACCACTCAGCCTGATTGATGATGTTAGGTGAAGTGAAGCCAGATAAGGAAAAGATATCTCAGATGTGTTGAACTTGTTTTGCAGTGGAAACCCCGGGAAGCTTAAAGGACTGGATGCTTGTTCAATTCACAGTGTTAAGATTTGTACAAAAAGTCAAAATAAAAGCATTTGGATTTTAATTTAATCTCAGCTGTTTTTCATTTTGATGGGTCATATAGTGACTCATTCAAGAAGCGCTGCGGTGCTGATGGACTTTTGATATGTCTGATATTATTAATGCCAGTGCTGATATTGATTCAGTCTGCAGTGTGTTAGCTTTTTTGTTTCTTTTTTGTTATATATCATTCAAAAAATACATAAAAAATGACAAGTTTTTAGAGTGGTAATTATTGCACAATGACTTGATAATAGTGCAAATGAGATAGACTAAGGTTAGACTACCAAAACTACCATCTAGTTGCACAGTTTAATTTGTGGCTATATAACATTTTATTACTTGTTGATTACCTTGTGCGGGTTCTCTGCATCAAACTAGTTTAAATACCTTTATGATTTTAGTGTAGTTGGTCACAAATCCTGGGATCATAACAACCCTAATATTTAAAATAATGCGGCTGATCAACTATGCTAGTGTTTTACTGTTTTGTTTTTTTTAACCTCTTGTGCCAAGGAAACCAAGAAAAATAACTGATGTGACAAGAAATAAATATCTGCCTCTGACATTAGCAGACATCAATCACCAGTATATCACGGTTTCTCTGGCAATCATCAAAAGAGTTTTGGCCTTCCCTACAGCTGGACCAACCACCGTAGGTACATACAGGCTATTCCAGTTTCTTACTTTTTTGCATATTTGTCACACATCAATGTTTCAAATTATCAAACACATTTTTATTATTTAATATTAGAGAAAGATATTTGATATAAGATCAAAACCTACCTGGCCCTATATGAAACAGTAACTGCCTCTTAAAGCTAATAACTGGTTGTTCCATGCTTGGCAGCAAAAACTGTAATCAAGCATTTGTGATACCTGGCAATGAGTCTTTCACATTACTGTGGAGGAATTCCTCCCACACTTCTTTGAACAATTGTTTTAATTAGGCTGCATTGGGGGGTTTTCAAGCTTGAACGGCCTGTTTAAAGTGAGTTCAAAGCATCTCAATTTGATTTAGGTCTGGACTTTGCTTAGACCACTGCAAAACCTTCATTTTATTTCTTTTTTTGAGCCATTCAGAGGTGGACTTGCTGGTATGTTTTGGATCATTGTCCTGCTGCATAACCCAAGTGAGCTCGAGTTTTAGGGCAAAAACTGATGGCTGGTGATTCTCTTTTAGGATTTTCTGGTAGAGAGCAGGATTCATGGTTCTACCTGTACAACTTCCTGAAGCAGCAAAGCAGCCCCAGACCATCAGGCTGACATCACCAAATACTTTATCACACAACTGTATGTGGCCTATTTCTTGCTTTTAATTTGATTAATATGCACAAACACAGGTTGATCTCAAAATAGTCTGCATAGCTTTTTTCACCCTCTGGTGTCCCATTTCTCCTTTTACCTTTCACATTTTGTATTTTGATGACCTTTTGTTGGCAATAAAATAAGAGGAAAACAACGAATTTTCTTACTTTTTACTAGATCATTTCATAAATGCAAGAAAACATGGCACCATGGTAAAGAAGTAAAAAGCTAAAGGACCAGATAATCATAAACAGCTCACTGCAGAGTGGTCACATGTAGCAGATTTAATTATTTACACCTATCATTAACCTTGCGTGTGAAGGCCTTCATAATAAAGATCCACACAGATTCTGTTTCGGTCAAAGAATGTTCATCTGACAGTAACTGTTGAGAATCACTGAGTTATTTCCCTACTGAATAGACAGTTGTTGCATAGACTGCTTTCTGTCACTTAACTATACCTAGCCTTCAGCTCTAGCCTGTGTCTGCTCACATCCATAGGTGTCTGACAAGCGAAGCTTTGTTAGCGAAACAGCAGCTGAAGATTACAGGAGCCACCAGAGCAAACAGAGCAGCTCCAGGCAGCCTTTAGCTTGGCTGCAGATTCCTGAGCCACTGACAGGTAGAGGATATGATACCTGCACCCAGCGCGCGCGCGCGCACACACACACACACACACACAGACTGTGGTCGTATTTTAAAGCAGGCTCATTAGAGAATACATCCCTGTGACTCTGCAGCTCCCCCGTATCTGCCGTTTCCCTTCACATTTAGCAGTGTTGTAGCTTTTCTGTGTAGCCAGCTAAATCACTGATAAGTGGCTAATGTTAGCCAGATGCAACTTAACTGCTCCACGCTGAAGTAAACACCGACGGGACGGCCGTAAACGGGTGCAGCGTGCTGTTCGTTAACACCGGAGCTAAACGCCCACAGCACACTGCACACATGACAAGCAATTCCACGGACGCTGAGTACAAATAATTGAATCGAAGTGGATCCTACCTTTAGCAAATTAGACGTCGCCATGTTCCCTCAACTTATCCTCTCGTAAAATCTCGCGCGAACAACAAGACCTACGAAGATAAACCTTATCGAAATATCGCTGTTAGGGAAGCTTTTGTTTTTTAAATAGAAATATTTTAAGGACAAAAGTATCATTTTAACCACTTTCTTTTACATATAGATGTACTTTATTCATATGTATTAATAAAGTAAAATTATTTTTGTTTATTAATATTTATGTGCATTTATTTACGTTTTTTGTTGTTCCTTAAAGCTCAGCCTATGTCAGAATGTCTTTTTGTGGTGCTCATTTTACGTTTGTTGTATAATTTATTCTCACCTTCATTAATAACAGTATTTAACAACGCTCTGTAGTGGAACGTTTATAGTATCACATAAAAGGTTTATTTTCAGTTACAGTTAGTTTATAATGTAGCCATTAAGAAGTATTACTTGTTAAAGTATATGTTATGGTTTTCATGTTTCCTGCACTCTCCTTCTCCTAAAACTTTTTTGTTTATTTTTATGTTTTTGATTTGTGTGTGTGTGTGTGTGTGTGTGTGTGTGTGTGTGTGCTTTTTTTTTTTCTTCTTACAGCAACATTAGTGTAGTAAGTGTAACGGAGGCTTTGATTTTATTGTCATTCGTAAATTGTTGGGAATTAATCCACAGTGGAAGTCTCATTTTAACAGGTACAATCAATTTTTGGAGTGTTATTGTGTGTTCCCAAATTTGTAAGGTCACATCGAACGAAAAAAGGCACTATGAGATTTAATCATAGTTTGTACCTGACCAAAATATTTGAATTATTTTAAATGATTTGTGTGTTTTGTTTGTTTTGTTTTGTTTTAACATAAAATGATTTTTAAAAATTAATCATATTACAACATTGTAGAATAAACAGATTATAGACATTAGCTAAAATATTCTCAGGCTGAATATTATTTATTTATGTTCACAAACAACATGAGCAAAGTGTAATTTGAGCAGGTATACTGCACTACTTTTGTCAACCGTAAGGGATTATAGTGAAAATGTGGCGGCCCTAGATCTCCTGTGTCATCTTTACCATACCACCACAAAACATTCCTTTTGCAAGTTCATAAAAAATAAATAAAGAGTCTAAAAAACAAAGTCAAAGTAAATAAAAATATTTTAGTTTGGTTAATAATTACTTTACGGTAACTTCAATCAAAAAATCAGGTACGATGTATAATCACGTTTGTGAAAACTTTTTTTGAAGTTTATCATCTGCAACTAACTGAAGTTTTTTTTTTAAGTTCTCTAAACCTTATAGGATTTACAGAATTTATGCATTTAGGACTAATAAACCACAAAAAAATAAAATAAAATGGTTCCTGTACAATAACAAATACAGCTAATCAGAGACATTAGAAGGTATTTTCTGCCATACTGAACCACATAGCACTACCTCTGCTGTTTTAGTTCACTTTCACTGCCTTGTAAATGATATGTAGGAAAAGTAAAAGGAAACATTTGCCACATATCACACTGAGTGCAGAACTGGAGATAGGAAAATGTTTGTACAGTCTCAGGGCCAATTATTGTTTCACTGTCAGCATGGTCTTTATTATCATTCCTTCCCTGCATGACATGAGGGAGAGAGGAGAGAAGTACAACAACATTAATAAAAAAAGGGAATTTTGCTCAGTCACTGCTGGGATTTTTCCATGACAAGATCATCCTGAGGAAAAAAGAAAAGCTTGGAGAAATCAAACCTACATTCTTTGAGTAAGAATGTAGGTTTGATTTATAAAGTGAAGTGCTGGGGACATTTCCTATCCTGTACTTAGACACATTATACTGTTACTGTATAATAATTTCTCCACTCTGGTGACCAGAAAGGAAATATGACCAATTAAACATTTGCTGCATACCTCATGAATAAACAAACCCGCTAATAGCGATAAAACATTACTTTTTATACAAACTTCTGTGTTGTCTACAAATGTTTTATATTAATTATAGCCTACAAATGAAGCGGGAAAATAATGAGAAAACAGGAAAAATCACAGGCGAAATGTTCACCACTCTAATAAACACATTGCTGCATATACTGGAGGTATAAACTTTTGGGTTAGTGTATTTCTGTTCACCTCAAATGTATTTCAATTCCAAAATTCCAATTTGCAACAACTGCCTGGAGTTACTTTATATTACAAAGCATCCAGACCTGCACTAGCAGACACAGAAACAGTTTTTACCCACAAGCCATCAGGCTTTTGAACTGCTGACACTCTTTACACACCATTACACACTCACTATAATTACAGGGCTCTACACACTGTCACTTCAAAAAATGCCACTTAAATGCTCATTGCACAAGTTTTTGCACAACTGGTAAATGCTTTTGCACAAACTTTAAATACCAACTTGTCTTAAATACTCTAAATATTAATACTTTTTCTCTCTTGTATTATTATTATTATTATTATTATTATTATTATTATTATTACTGCTATTTTCATGTTATTTTCTTCTTAATATAACTGCACACTTTCTATATGGTCATGCAAAACTGAGGAGCATGAGCCAAAGTATTTCATTATGGGTAAATGTAGCTACACTGTTTATCTGGACATAACAATAAAACCTGAAACCTGAACTTGAACTTGAACTTTTCAGCAGCATTTGGTGACAGTGGAGTAGAAGAGCTCCCTTCCTCTCCTTTCCTTTCCCTTCCTTTGCTTTCCTTTCCTTTCCTGTCTTGCCAGAAGACATATCTTGCAGGACCTTGCTACTTGTCAATGGTCTAGTTAAACATGTCTTGCATTCACAGACTTTTCTTCTGATAACAATACCCCAAGTCTTTCAGGATAAGGGATAATGCCACGCAGCAGCGGAATGGCCAGGGGACATAGGAAGCCATGTGAAGAGTGTCTGTCTCCAGAATCCAAATTAGGATCTCCTTCCACACCAGAGGAGCCTGACAGCTGAAGACTATGCCTCCCATTCTACTTTTACAAATGCTAGGAACCACAAGTAAGCCTTCAGGCTGAGAGTAAAGTGCTCTATTGGGATAAAATGATACTATACTAAAGTACTATATATACTTTAGGGTATGATGGACCAATTCGGGGCTTTTATGTGAGGAGAAGGATTGGAGAGATTTCGCAGGCCTTTCCTCCCTACTGCTGTCGGACTCACAACAAAGACTTCAACTGATCAAACACACACATCCACACATGTGTAATAGCAATAACACTAAGTGCAATACTTTTTTCTCGCATTGTTGTATTATACTCAATTGTATATAGCATTTGTATTCTATTTTATTCCATTGTATATTGTATTTTATTTTATTCTATTCTATTGTGTACAGTATCTCATAGATATATTATTCCAGTGTTTTTTCTCTAATTTTTCTATGCAACTTTGCACTGTCCACTGCTGTAACAAAACAAATTTCCCACACGTGTGGGAACCTGTAATAAAGGTTATCTTATCTTATCTTATCTTAAAAGGGTTTTAAGAGGAAGCAAGTGAAGAGAGGCTAATACAGAAGAAATATAATCTCTGTTTCTAGCCTCTGCTAGTAGCCTACTTTTGTTGATAACTGTCACCCTGTCTGCTCGTCTGTCTGGTTATTTCCTCTTTGTTTTTTTCGGATCAGCAACTTTTTAAAAACATAAAGTGTGTGTTGCTAGACTCACATGCTGACTTCTGCAAAAAATGTGGAACATTATGTGGAACTCGGGAACAAGGCATAGAGATGCAGTGCTAGCCCATCAGAAAAATCAGAAAGGCAGATCTCCACACCGCATGCCACAAGTACGCGATCAGCAAGTAGGACTTTATAAGCATGAAAGTTTCCGTAAACAACACTGCCAAAGCATCAATGAGCAATTTGTACAAATATACTAATAACAATAATTCATCCCTAATAAAATACGTTTTGTGTTATTTTTTTCTGACTAAACTAACTGTAATTATCCTCTTTATCAGCTTCATAAGTTTGACTGCACTGTGCACACGTCACCTAGAATTCGTTGCAACCAATCAGAGCGTAAGGGGCGGTCCTACGCGAACACGAGGTTAGTCCTGTTCATCCTGGTTGAGAGGTGTTTCCGCGTGGACGAAGATTTTTTTCTTCCTGAATAAACATGAAATCATCACAGCTGGAGGATGTCACCACATAATTGAACGTCAAAATGTATGTTTTATTGATATTCATTTACATTCATTGATTAATTCGCTGTTTTGTTTGCTGTTTAGCTAATGGAGTGTAATAAATGACGCAAGGTTCACCAAACTCCATTTGAAAAGTTGAAGTTTAATATTTCTGTACTTGCTACTAATTATTTACACCTGCTTTAACGTAACTAAGTACGTATTACGAATCATTACGAGCTACACTAAAATTCGGGATATTTATTTTCTAACTAAAGCATGTAATAGTAAACCTATCAGCGTCGACGCCTCCAGTGTACACAAAGCTCGTAACGAAATATATATAACCGGTTTTAATCACTTCATGCAATGTGTTTGTACATTAACCTCAGTCCTTTGGAGATTAGGTGTCATGCTCTGCTTGGGCAGTCTGATGAAGATACTGAAAGCGAAAGACACTAATTCCCAATTATTTTTCTTCCAGCTTTTAATCTTGCTCGGTGTCCATGTCTTTATGTCTTTATGTTTAGCTCTTAGAGAGATGGAGGGGCCCGTGGAGGAGAGATTGTGTGGGAAAATGAAGATTGGCTGTGGTTTGCACAGAGACAACCTGAGAGATGTTTTCACGTGGTGAGAACAAATCTAGATGTGTAAATCTCGTTTTTAGCTACTGTATGTTGTATCAGTGACTGTAACAGGCGTAGAATCACCAGGGTTGTAAAAGAACTAGAGAACTTACATCCACATTTTTTCAAGAGTCAAATGGTTGAATGAGTTGAATGGTTGTACAGCATACATATTTAATGACTGTAAAAACAAAAATCAGGTGCACAAGTGTTTATTTATTTGGGATTTTCTCTAAACCACACAGTGTCAAGAGTGCACATACAGCTGAATATACAAATATATGCATCCACCCCTACCAATATTCGGTTAGATGTCCCTAAG